AATGTTTTTTTTTACTAATTGTACATAATTTGAGGGTGCTGAATCTAAATCTGCCGGGTGCCACTTTGTCACCCTTGGGGAAAATGAGATATTCAAGATGGCGTTCAAGATGGCCGCCGAATACATAAAGTTTTATATTTCAGCCCCTAAGCATCATAGAACAACTATATTTTGGTTGATTTTTTTGTTTTCAAGGTCAAGGAAAGTAGTTTGAAGATGCCCACGAAAACTGGGAGTCATCCCAGAGCAAAATTTCACGCCTGCTGAATGAACGTTTTAAACTCCTGAAGACAAGTTTGACCGTGTTCAACGCGTTGAGAAACCCAACCCCTCCCGCCCCCGCGACATCATAAAAAATTCTCATCCCCCTCTGACCGTGACAAAGTGTTTTATCAACGCAGTAAGCTGAAAGGCACCCCTATCTTCGTCAACGAGGACCTCTTTCCAGGTACGAATAAAGCCCGTCTACAGAAAATGGACCAGTTTAAAGAAGCCAGGAAACAAGGGAAACACGTGACATTCAGTCCTAAGCCCTTGTTGTGAGGGGCTTTAGGGCAAGTGGACACCCGCCCACTCACCCACCCGCTGTACCAGCCCCCTCCCCCCGAAATAGTTGAACAACTCTCACATACATACAACGATCCAAGAGAATTCGGGTGTCGAGTTAAGAGACAGAAAGGCTGCAGCCGTAACGAGTCATGATATATGATCAACTGACCAAGCAGGAAGTAAAATATATGACGACAAAGACAAAGAACCCATCTTCAGGGACATATGGAGGAACATCTTCCGAATCAATGAAGAGAACAGGGGATTTGATGGTACCCACTAGGAGCTCGTCCTTGATGAACTCCGGGGCCAGATACACCGGCACTCAGCCTTCCCCTGAAATCATATGGGAGGATCTGAGAGTGGACAGCCCACTGTCCAAACCAATCACCTCGGAAGAACTCAGCACAGCCATCTCCAATACCAAAAATAAAGCCCCTGGCTATTCAGGCATCACCAATGAGATCCTCAGCCACATAAACAACCCGGCCATGGAGAGACTGAGAACCACAATGAACGCTTGCCTGGCCTCGGGTTACTTCCCAACTAAATTCAAAGAGGTCATTATTACCCTAAAACCAAAACAAGGAAAGAACCCCGCCGTCCCACTAAACTACAGACTGATCTCCCTCCTCGAAATAACTGGAAAAATCCTAGAAAATATCATCAATAACCGTCTGAGAAATCACCTGGGAGCAACCAACAGAGTCAACTGAGGACAATTTGGGTTCAGGAAAGGGAAGTCCATTACAACAGCGACAGCCCTGGCACGTGAAAACATAGCCAGAGCCGCAGCGAGTGGTAGACAATGTAATCTAACTCTCTGGGATGTAGCGAAGGCATTTGACAAAGTCTGGCATGACGGTCTAAAATATAAGATTGTCCAACTCGGACTTCCCACTAACATTGAAAAGCTGCTTTGCAACTTTCTTGACGGCAGAAATGCCAGACTGAGGGTAGGACAACACACAGGAGAGACCTTCCCACTCATGAGCGGAGTCCCTCAAGTGACACCCCGCCTCCCACTAGAATAGGTAACGAAGATATTATGTATGCAGATGACATCACTCAAATAACAACACATCAAGGAAAATCGCGAGCGTTACAGGTCGACAACACCAGACGGGAATTAGAAAGGGTAAATAATAATCGAAATATCGAAAAGCAATGGAAAATCCAAACCAGTCTCCCGAAATTCACAGTGATACCCTTATGCAGAAGGAAAACCCATCCATTAGTAACCAATAAAGCCCAGATAGAATACAAAAGCAGAAGCACCCTCCTGGGCCTGCATATATCCACGACAGGTTACTCCCATCATGTCCACACCAGGAAGGAAAAGGCAAGAAGAGAGCTGAGAAAACTATACCGCTTTAAAGCGCTTCCTGAACAAATAAAACTCCGCCTGGTGACATCATTTATCATACCGATATTAACTTATCCAGCAGCACCTCCTCATACTTTGAGCACCACTCAAATATTAAAATTACAGGTGGTCCAAAATGAAGCCCTTAGATTCGTCACAGGTGAAAGATACCCCTTCACTAGAACTACAGCCGAGATGCATAGAGACCTGAGAATAAAACCCATCAACCAGCAGCTGCACACCCTGGCCAGCAGAGTCTGGCAAAAGATAGAACGATCAGAGCAAGAACACCAGATTACGACAACAACCATACATGGTTCCCAAAAAGTTACCAAATCTCATAAGGTTATTACCACCCCCGATCTATACGGCCAGGCAATAGACAACCTCCCTAGACCAGCATCCGCCAGTAGGGTCGGCAGAATATTAAATAAGGCCCTCAAAATGTTTACCCATATATGGGATAGGGTAGGATGTCAAGTGCCTGTTTCGACAGACAATAACTAATCCATGACACAACCCTAACACACCATTAGCTTAGCTAACCCACAGCAAGGCGTTCAGCCCGCCCTCTCCTAACTCCTCCTAATGGTGTGTAAAGTAAGAATTTATAGTCGTAGGGTTGTAGTATGAGGAAAGTTGGTAGCGTGGCTCGAGGGTGTAAAGATAGTATTATATATTAACATGCTCAGTATAAGTGTATTATATAAAACACCATTGCATGTTACAGCTTTATTTTACTAGTTCAATATATACACAATATATAGTAGATTAGGTATATTCATATTACCTAACAAGTAAATGGGCATTGCCACATGTCAATCATAGAGAAGGTTCAGGATCACCGCATTACTATCCTCTACACAACCAGCACTTAATTTGACACAATGAGTAGATAGCACACCGTCGATGGACTGGGCTGAGACCTAATTGCACTTATTGTCGGCATTCTTCAATGCAGCTGGTGGGACGACGAGGGGGACTGGGGAGCGAGTGTTGCTGGCCCCTCACTGTTTTGATTAACGGAAGAAGCTGGAGGCCCCTTATATTGAATGTCTCAGGCCGGTAGATGTCCTCTCTTAATGAACATTAATGTGGGTGTGTCTAGACCGGCTTGTTTGGTCAATTGTCAGGAGCGCTGGATTGGATTGGATTGCCCACGAGGGAGCTAGTTTATTGGGCACCCTCTTACATCCTATGCAAGGTGAAGCGCAGAAGCGTTTACAGCGCACATCTGGGAAGCATGCGGAGTTCATGCTTGCCTTTATGACTCATGCATTAATGGCCCAAAAGCCTGAAGGATTTGTCAGCAAATTACATAAAGTGACAGAATGATGAGTGTGTGGGGGGAAAATTCCCGGTACAATTTATCTGTTTATGGCAAAGTGTGGCAGGTCCCTAATAATGTCAAGTGCCAGGCCTGCCACTGTGTGGAGGGATATCTGGTCAGGGAGGGAAGAGGTGTTGGTAACAGGTGGGGACCTGCAGGAGTAGGTCATAGGGCAAGTGAAGATGTAGTGAGAGAGGGTGTGAGAGTCGGTTGACCACAAAGTTTAGAAACAGTGCGACCAGGCTCAGGGTTGCCATTGTACTAGGACTGGCGAAGTACAATGGGGGGAGGGGGGGAGAGGTGATATGGTGTGGTGGAACAGATACAGTAGGGGTGGAGGGAGGCACATAGGCATTGACAAGTTGAGGGTCATACCTTTTAGTGTGATTGTGAGGGCGTGTGCGTCGACATGCCGGTGGGGTACGGGTAGCCGGGGGTGGTGTCCTCAGGTCCAGCAGGTAGCCCTGGTGGAGACAGGACAGACACAGGAGCGGGTGCGGCTTGCGGTGGGTGGAGGACAGTGGAGATGTTCGGGGTACTTGGTTCGAACTACAGGAGCGAACATAAACACCTGTAGAGTTCTGTAGGTTGTATTCAACGGAATTATACAAGGGTGCCCTTACACTCCTATGTAGGTCAACTGACCTCTCTCTGACCTCTCAGGCGACATGTGGTAAGTGGTACGGTAGTGGATTCCTCCCCTACAAACACTTGTCGCTGAGTAGCCGACCCCGCGAATTCCCCAGTGTATGCCTCGTGGTCTAGGTCAACCAGCGCCGCCTTACATGGCTGAGGTCAACTATTAAGCCACGCCTACCTCCGCTATATAAAATCTGACCTCGTGGTGACCTACCTCTCTCTTTCTACCTACAGCCAGTCATCAAGTAACACCACCTCCTCCGCTCCTGCCTGGCGGCCCTCGCTCCCGCCGGCGAGCATGGCGACCCACAAGCTGGTCCTCCTCTGAGCATCCTCACCAACCAGCTCTCTCTACACCACGCTTGTAACCACGCTTGTAACCACGCTGCCACTTCCCAGCACCAAGCTGCACTGTACATCCAATACAATATGTATACAGAGAGCACATTGTGAGTTTCCTTTCTCCATCCCATCCTGAGTGTGAACCAACATCTCGTACCCCACAGTACATTAGCAGTTTCCAGATGTCGCCAGGCACATTATCTAAGCGTATGGTGACATGAAATAGGGGCATTGCCACATGCTACTGACTAGAGAAGTAATGTATATAAGTAGCGTACATACAAGGTATACATACAACATACATAATATACATACAGACAGAGTGAGGCACCACGTGTCGTGTAGATGAGGCAGGACTTCGCTTGGGGGCAGCAGGACACACCAGGGCAGGCCCGGTAGGTGCTACACCAGTAGTGAAGGCCGCCGCCGGTGGAGTAGGCCGTGAGCAGGGGGGGGGCTCACAGGGGGACTACCAGCTTGTGTCAAACCAGAAGAGAGGAGTGACTGGGTGGCAACAGAGGGCAAGAGTAGGTCGGAGATGGACAGAGTGTAGTGAAGAGTCTTTCAATGCGGTTGGTAAATTCTTGGAAGAGGGATATGATATGTGTCATGTTACTGGAGGGGGGGGTTGTGGGGGGCACCGGTGGGGAGCAAGGCTGACAGCGTCAGAGTACAGAAGGGGAGGAGGCCCAGTAGACGGCCGGGACTGCTGTGTTGCAGCCAGGTGAGGCCAGGCAGTGGCAGATGTTGTTGAAGAAGGCGTTGCGAAAGGCTGTACTTGCTTCGGCAGTACATATACTAAAATTGGAACGATACAGAGAAGATTAGCATGGCCCCTGAGCAGGAGTACTGGTTGGATAGTAGTTCCTTGAATTAACAAGGTCATAACCCCGGCTGGTGGCGAGAACTCTTCCCTTCCTGACCGTGATCTCTGTTGAGTCAGGTCTTAATGTCACCTTAGTTACCGTAGGGTGGGTCATCTTGTGTGGGTTACTACTTTTTTTTTTTTTTTTTTAATACGTGGCCTCCAGCCTCCCCCAATAGCCACACCTTTGCCACCATTTAATTACCTTAATATTAAATTTCCTAATACATAAGAAGCTATCCTATCTGTGTTAAATTAGTTGAGCCACAGATCTATGCGGCATTCAGTGACAGTAGCCTCATAGTCAATATCTGCAGCAGTTGTCGGAGTTGGGGCAGAAGCTCTCGTTCCCCTGAGGCAGAGCAAAGCCGACCGAAGGAGAGAGAAAGACAGTCGACATCTCATCCGGGCTGTAACATAACTTCTGGGCTGCTGCTTCTGTTCGGAGATCAACTCCGCGAGTCTGGCGTAGAAACATCTTGCACTTGGGCCCATCCCACCAGAGGTTGTGAACACAAGAGGAGTGAAGCTGCCTTGATCAACGTTTTGAATTCTCTCCCCATATGCCATTCTCTTGTCGTTCTCGTTCCTCCTATGTGCAGCATCGAGAGCTAGGTTACGGTGACATGCAGCCATGGGATCAAAAATCCTGATGTCAAAGAAAGCTCACTGTCCCCGCGTCCAGAATCCTCGAGCACTGACGTCCACACGGGCTTCGTTAGATGTGTTTGAGGTCCTGTGTTGGAAGATCTCGCCATCCAATGGAAGGAGGGTCGGTTCTACCATGACGTCCCGGCAGATTTCCTTCAACATATTTGCTGTGAGATTCCTTACCTCGTCATGCCTCATGCATATGAAGCCCCCCCTTCTTGCACACCATGGCGTGATCGCCATCATAGTAAAAAGAGCCACACACGCATTGGGAGGGCAAACCTTCTACTGGCCGACCGTACCTTAGACCAATGGCATCTGTAAATTCTTGTTTATTAAGACGGAAACCATTTGCCCTTATCGGTAACGTAGTTAACCAGTTCGAGGCGCCCACCTCCTGCGTTATAGCTACTTTTTTTTCAAATTTTCTGGAACCTGCAGCAATAGTTGCTGCAACTTATCATTTTGGCAGTGCTGTCGATCTGTCGTAATGGACCTACGTACTATGTCTATGTTATTCTACTGGCTTGGATGCTTTGGTCTGATAGACAAACATTTTAGCACTTACTTTGTTAGCCAGTCCAAATTACTGGGAAATTAAGACTATAATCATCAACTTAATAATCTATTACGTTGTATAAAGAAATATAAGTGTGTGTTTGTAATAAAACAGAAAACACTAAGTAGTGTTTCAGAATAATCCCTACCACTGATAACTCTTTTACCTAACCAGTGCAAGCAACAGGACACCATCCAATATTATTCTTATAAAGGAAGAGTGTTTTGCAGTGTTCGAAACTGGTTGTGGTGACACATTAAAGATGGGTTATGAGAGTTGTGTTATGGGTTTCTTGTGGTCATAACGGACGGCGGCCGGCATGAAGATCCAGGGCAAGAAGGAGCAACCGGCCAGCCCAGCCAACACCCACATGCTGACGGCGTAGCTGCCGGTGACGTCCCGGACAATTCCTGGGGAGAAACACTTTACTGTCACACTGGTTAGTTTTTCTAACGTGCTTGTTCACAAAATTTATGTATTATATTAATTCTTTCTGTGCAGTTACATATAAATGTTTGTGGACCAATGTTCTGATAAGACATAATAAAGAAATCCCAAAATCTAACTGGATCCTATCTTATAGGGTGTCAAGGTCCTGTGGTGAGGTTGAGGGGGCAGCGATAGACCCTAAAATGAATGGAATAATGTCATTGAGGTTTTTTTTTATCATTCCTTATGGGTAAAATTACAGATTACAGTAACCAAAGAATCTGATAAAAAAAATGTGTTACCTAACACAACCTAACGTAACTTAACCTAACCTAGTGTAATATGAGAAAATTGTCATAGAAAAAAATAGTTCTATCGACTGAGTGTAGTGAATTTCCGGAATTTTGTGGTTGCTGTTTACTGCAATATTACCAATTTATGAACCTGTTTTATTAACTATTTGATACTACAGTAAGTTAGGTGATAATGTTAAAGGTATCAAGTAACTTAGTATCAAATAGTTTATAAAAACAGGATTCGGAAAATTATGATATATATTGATCTGTCCGATACTTGTCTAGTCGTCCATCTAAGGTTAGCACATCTTCAATACTTCCTTGCGCTGTTCCATACATTTGTCGGAAAAAGTTATCAGTGAAACTGCCGTAACCCCTACAGATACACAAGGTGTAGAAGTCGAGGCCCTATTCTACCGTAGGTCACAGTAATATTTCACCACTCCGACACCCACTTTTAAGAATATTATAATACAATTTTTAATAAAATAGCAATCGAAAGTAGTATTTGCATTAATTCAATAAAATAACCTGGTATAAGTAAATAATAAACCCCTACAAGTTTAAATTACATCTTAGCCTCATACCATTATGTTCAAGCGCTACTAACCTTGCAAGTGTACACTATAGTCGTTCTTTTTTTTAGCTGACGGTACATACCCTGCCGCCTTGCAGCTCATTGGCTCTTAAATAATATTCTATTAATATTGGTACGGTATAACCTCAAGTATCCGGCATTTAACCCTCCGGAACGCTCAAGCAACCGGCATTTTTTTGTGGAGTTAGTTTCCAGTTGGCGTCACTTCGCCTGTGGTTCCATTTCTGGCCACTAGAGGTGCTGTATGTGGGCTTTTGGGATCAATAAGTTGACTTGTGGAGTGATAGTTTTTGTTTAGGGAGGAGTTGTTGAGTTAGGTTGTTCTTATTGAGAGGGGTTGTCAGTGAGGTTGGGTATGTTTAGGTTGCTTCTGAAGAATTGTAAGTATTTCTGTGCGGCTTTGACTGGGGGTGTTTGGTGGTTGGTTGGTATTTTATTTTATTTTACACTAGCAGAATTGCCGCCCTCCGGGTGGCTCATCCGCTAGGCAACGGAAGGACGCCACCCTCCGGGAGGCTCCACATTGTCTCACTGTTCAGTCTCCAAAAATTCTTCTTCCATCAATAGTTTATAAACGGTGTATGCAAGTTCCTCCATGTTTTTCACTCCAATGGTACAGCAAAGTATATTTTTTTCGCATTAAACTGATATTATTTTATTGTCTAATCATTACTACATATAACACCACCCATCATCACTACATATAACTTCATCCATCATCACTACATATAACACCTTCCATCATCACTAAATATAACACCACCATCATCACTACATATAACACCACCCATCATCACTACATATAACACTATCCATCACCACTACAGATCGGTAAAGTAGTTTCCGAGATTCTCGTGCGGACACACAGACAAACTTCTTTGTTTTATATAGTTAGATTGTCTAATCATCACTACATATAACACCACCCATCATCACTACATATAACATCATCCATCTTCACTACATATAACACCATCCATCATCACTACATATAACACCATCCATCATCACTACATATAACACCACCCATCATCACTACGTATAACACCATCCATCATCACTTCATATAACACCATCCATCATCACTACAGATTGGTAAAGTTGTTTCCGAGATTCTCGTGCGGACACACACACACACACACACACAAACACAAACACAAACACAAACACACAGACATACTTCTTTGTTTTATATATATATATGTGATATCCAGAAATTTCAGAGTAATTTCAAATGCCCCGCCATGAGTGATACTGAGCGTTCAAGGTCATCTGAGGGGAGGGAGCGCTGCCTGCTCTTAGCGAGAGACTGCGGAACTAGGCCTATATGATATTAAATGTAATTTACCGAATTAATAATGATGCGATTCATGAAGTTAAGGGACTATTATTGAATTTGAAATTATTATAGATCGTTTAGCAGTCTGAATAATGTTACGGGTGTCCCAAGGAGTTATTAGTTAGGCGGAAAATATATCACGTAGGCCCAAGGTAACGCCTTGAGGAGACGCGACGCTGGCTAGGCCCAGTCCCGGAGAGCATTCACACAGACAAGACGTTCCGCGCGTCCATCAGAAATAGTCACGTGGCCTAGTCACCTGTGCTGCGCTATTGCAGTATAACAAAACCCACTTGATTGGAGTTGATTGGAGTTGACCGGAGTTGACTGCGAGAGATTGACTGCCGTTGATGATTGAGGGTGGCGATTGTCGCCATTGGACCGATCAGTGTAGGCCTGTCACTGTTTAGCGGGGTAGCAAAGGATCTCTTGAGTGAACGAGTGCTCCCGACAACTAAAACGACACGGGACCAGCATCGGCAGTGGGTGATCAGTTCTTACCACTCCGGTGCACAACACCACGTGTCCTCGGTCAGCTAGTGAAACCCTCTTGCTAACGGGAAGCTAAAGTTTCTCTCAACTGCACAAGGTCTGATTGGCTCACTCTCTTCCTGCCCATGGACGCACTGGGAGTACACTGAGGCTATCTGAGTATATTAATGGTCACACACTGAGACCGTGAGTCTAGGACTCTAGGAGATACCTAGAGGAACATTTTATCTTCATTATTACGGGTGTAGTTAACACCACTCCTCAGACTGATATTATCTTGACGTGTGTAGTTAATATTTCTTAAATAATTTTGATAATATTGTTTTGAATGTTTGTGCCATTAAGTGGAACCAGAGTGATACTGTGATTGATTCTTTTAATGCATCTGATTGTTCTTCATAATTCTGATCTCAGGTATAACCTTGTTCCCCAGAGTAGTGGTTAAGTTAGGTTAGGAAGTGTGCATCTGTTGGGGTGCTATAATTTTGTTGAGTGCCCTTAAGGCCTATTCATTGTAGAGTATTTAATTTCTTAAATTTTATTACCATTTCCTCAGTGACTGATATTATCTTGTTGAGTGCCCTTAAGGCCTATTCATTGTAGAGTATTTAATTTCTTAAATTTTATTACCATTCCTCAGTGACTGATATTATTTTGTTGAAGACCCTTAAGGCCTATTCATTGTGGAGTATTTAATTTCTTATTTTTTAGTACCATTTCCTAAGTGACTGATATTATTTTGTGAAAGCCCTTAAGGCCTGTTCATGTGTGCAGCAACATTTCTTAATACTTCAAATTTATTGTTGCCTGTGTTTCTAATAATTTCTATGTCATGTATAACTTTTATTCCCCAGAGTAGTGTTTAAAGTTTAAGTTAAGAGGTGCGCATATTGGTGTACCATTATTTGATTGTGTTTGTAGTGTTGGAGGGAATATAAGTGTCTAAATTTTACAGTGTGTCTCATTCATCCCAGTCACAGACGCTATCCTTCCACGGGTCACGGACAGTTCATTTTGTGTAGTAGATTTAAGTGTTCTTGTGCTGGTTCGGGATTTTTCTCAAAGGGGCGCTTCCACTGCCTTTACCATCTATTAAATTTTAATAAACCCCAAGTCAAGTGAGAAATTAAAGTCCAGCAAATTCCGACCGGTTACAAATGGTAGCAGAGCATGGTTGTTTTTATTTCGTGACTGATAGTTCTGTGGTTGGGATAATGAGCGTAATCATGGAGTGGATGGAAACGGTAGAGAGTGTGACCTCAACTCTACACATGCTCGCCATGGGAATGGGTTTGTTGTGGTTGACGGTGCGGGGTTACTCGGAGAAAAGGAGAGACAGCCCGGGGTTGGTGCGGTTGAGAGAGGAGTTCGTGGAACGTATTGGGAAGCTAGAGGGGAAAATCCGGGGAGAGTACCAGGAACGATTGGAACAGTTAGAAGGGAAGATCAATGGGGAATGTCAGGCATGGGCGAACCAAATCAGGGGGGAGTATGGAGTATATGTACAACAGTTAAGGGGGGAGTACCACACACAATTGCAACAGTTAGAGACGGAACACCAACAACAACTAGCTCTGTTGGGGGATGCACTAGATAGGGTAAAGACACAGTATAAAATACAGCACGATGAGACGATGTGGGAGATGAGGAGACACAATAGTAGAGAGGGAACTAGTCTCGGGGCCGGGTTGACCATGTCCAAGTTCGACGGTAGGCCAGGAATAGAGGTAGGAAAGTGGTTAAGAGAGGTTGACCGAACCCTCAAGCTGCTAGACGGAGACGAAGTCCGTCGAATCCAGTTCGTAATAAGGCATCTTGCGGGGCCTGCGGCAGATCGCGTATACAATGCACGCAGAGACTGGGAAACCGTAGATGAATTAACTTGTTATTTGAAGCAGCCATACGGCGGGCAGACGGCCACGTACGACGCCATTCGGAAGATGATGACGCGGAAACAAGGGAGCAACGAAACGCTTCTTGAATATTACGATGCTATGCTCGATTTAAACGATGAGTTGAACCACCATGATCATAAATATGATAAGGCCCTGTTGGGAGATGCAATCACTCGGGGGCTCAAGGAGGAACAAAGCCGTATGTGGTTAGTGGATGAGATCAAGAAGTATCCTCACCATAGTCTAGACGAGTGGATCACGGGGCTGAGAGAGGCGGAACAAAAACTAGGTGCCGTGGAAAGTAGGTGGAATGCGGATCTCGAGCAGTTTAACTTTACTATAGAGTACAAGCCGGGGAAGA